ATTCAAGAGAGAGTAGTCATGATTTTGAGAATGAGAGTGACCATGATGTCCCCTCCCGCCATGACTATGACCATGATTGTGACTATGTCCATGGCCATGTCCATGGCCATGTCCATGTTTAAATGCACATATCCCTACTAAATTCACTATCAATCCCAACACAGAGACAACAAAGAGCCTTTCATGTTTAATCTCTGGTGGCTCAATGGCTCGTTCCACTGCTTCTGACATAATAAACAAGGCTATAAACAATAGAAGCAGTCCATTCACAAAACCACCCAACACTTCGGCTCTAACATATCCATATGAGTATCTGTCGTTTGCCCTCCACTTGGTGATGACAGATGCCGCTAAACCAAACAGCAGGCCAGTGCAGTCGAAGAACATATGGAAACTGTCGGAGATAAGACCGAGACTGTTGGTCCATATTCCATAAAACAGCTCGACGAAGGCAAAAGACAGGTTCAGAATCAGGAACAGAAATAAGTTACGGGTGTTCGGATCAGAGAAGATGAGACGTTTCCAACTCAGCAGCTTCTCCTTAATCCTACTTCGGAAGTTGGAACGCGAATCACGTGGACTGTGAGAAAGGGGCAGCATCTTGGAATCACACTGATCCTACAGGCCTGAATCTGTCCTAAGGAAAAAATTTAGTGTTATAACAAGATGGATGAAAAAGTTAATAAAAGTAAAATATCAGTATAAAAGTAAAATAAAGATATCAATGCAATATTTCGGTATTAAGTTAAAATAAAAACATCAAAGTAAGTAAAGTTTCTACATTAAAATGAAACAAAGATACTAAAGTAAAGCTTTGATATTAAAATAAAACAAAAATATCAAATTACAGCTTCAGTATTAAAAAAAAAATAAAATAAAGACACCAAGTGGTAAAGTTTGATATTACTATAAAACAAAACCTCATCAAAATAAAGTTTCAGTATCAAAAAAGAATAAAATAAAGGCACTTTTACTAAAGTAAAACTCTATTAAAATAAAATAAAGATAGTCTAAGATAAAGCTTTGAAATAAGCACTGAAATAATACAAAGACACCAAAATAAAGTAAAATTAAAATTGAAGGACTCTTTATATGAAAATAAAAATTAAACAAGGTGAAGGACAATAAGAGTCAATTTATAAGTGAACAAGAAAGCGATTATAACATTAAAAATATAATATGAATTTAAAAAAGAATACAATAAAAGTACTTAGCCGCTATTGACCAAATTAAAAATTAGAATATCGGTCAATATAATATAGAAAATCGCTCGATGTAATATGTCGTGCCGTAACATGTTTCGACTCTTGGTTTGAGTCCTCTTCAGACGTTCAACAAAAAATTACTTCTTTATATACAATTAAGTCAAAATTTTTCACTGACTCCTCGATTTCTCCCTTCGTTACACAACATTGGCAATACAAGATGGCAAAGTCGTATATTGAAACAATGTATCTGTAACTTAGCATGAGAATGAATTTCTTGTTTACTTATGAATTGACTCTTATTGTTCTTCACCTTGTTTAATTTTTATTACCAAAATAAAGCTTCGCTAAAGTAAAGACATTCTAAATATACCTAGTCATACCTTTTCTCTCAAAAATTATATTTATACTTTTCACAATCTAAACAGCAAAACAACCGTCTGTATTTTCGTAAACGTGTACAGCTGTGCACGTACATATGTTGCCATAAGACATACCCGAGGTAATTATCCAGAAATCACGTAAATATTTGAATTAAGTGCAGATGTACATCTGTTCAACAAAATAATCAAAGACTCCGGAGTCTCTTCCGCAACACAAAGCACGAAGAGACAAAGCAATTAGCCATTAATCAGACCAGTCGACATACGACATTCCCAGCTGTTTGACACGCGTCAAATTCGTTAATTGGAGCAATACGTACAAACATGTGCGTGCATGCGTGCATACATACACGCACGGCCACGTCCAACGTCCAGGGTGACCTAACCTAACCTCCTCAAACGCCCCGTGCAAGACTCACCTGTCGCACCGTCAAGTCCGTCCCGTCGATGTCAATCCGCTGTTCCGTACCGCATGCCGGCTGTCAGAGATGCAGAGAACCGGATCGCGCGTGGCAGGAAGGTGCACTGTGGAGGAGCGTGGCCATACCGCGTGGTCCCGGTCGATCGATCGGTCGGTCGGTGAACGGAAGGAACGAGAGCCGACCGCGTCGCAAACGAGGACGGACGCGCGAAATGAAATTCGACGGCGACAGTTGACGTTTCCTCTCGTAAATTTTCCGACGTCGACGACTCGCCTCCCCGCAATACGTCCACGTCGCCACGACTTCGATTAACGTAGTTGCCAAATTCGGGCTGTAGAATCGGTGTAGATGGTAGTGCAATCGCTATACCGCGAGCGGAAAAGACGTCGCAGGTTGCACGCCATGGCGTACATTCCACTTCCGTTTTCTTTTTCACGCGACAGCCACCATGGTAAGTTCACGTGTTAACTGTGCGACGTTTTCAATGCGATCTCGTGATAGATTCATAGATATTACGTAGAGTACGAAAGCCTCGTGAAAAATGGTAAATTATTATCAGATTGCAAGTTATGTGCCAGATACACTTTGTTTATGTACGTGGAGCATTTTTCGTCTCAGCGGATCTTTCACGTTGCTACACCAAATTTAATTTCTTTGCTTTATTTTCAATTTGATAATGATATAATATTTAGCGCTGAAAGCAAGATGACGATTGTATTCAAAGAATATATTGGAATGACAGCTGGAGATTATTACATCAATAACATAACCTGTCTTTTTTCTGGATTCTTCATGCTTAAAGTTTGTCTGTGTCTGTTAATATTTCTATAACTTTTAAATGTCTTTTGTAAATTTGAGTACAAATGCGATGTAACGTATGTTGTTCTCTTCAATTTCTCTTTGAGTTTTAAATATCACATTTATGGACTACATTCATAGGCCTGTTATAAAGTTTTGTATAGTTAATCTTTTCTCTTTTTCTCTTCAATGTGAAAAAAGAAGTAAATATGAACTATGTAAGAAGTTCAATCTAAGGATGGAACGTAAAGAAAAAACACTAAAAAAAGTAATAAGTACTAAAGATGCATAAGATAATTTAAACAATACATCTGTAAAATATTAACAAAATCTCCGTTTTATGGATATGTATAGATCTGTAATTTTTTGTAAAATTTATGATGACCAGCTATTTTCTAGATAGGTACTATGACAGTAAAATACTGATTTAATGAGTCTGACTGTAACTCTCAGATACAATTAAATTTGATCTTGCTACAAATGTCTTATATTTAATTTATTATTACAGCCGCCTAAAAAGGATACAAAGAGTTCCTCTAAACAGCCTCAGAAAACCCAAAAGAAGAAGGAAGGTGGATCTGGTGGAAAGGCCAAGAAGAAGGTTGGTATCCTTAATCATAACAATCACAATAGATAATTTCAAACAATTAATGTTATTTGATGTGTAATTTTTTCAACTTGAATAACTATGGAAGTAAAAATTGATTTAATGAGTCTGATAAGATTTTTTTAATTATTTTCATATTATAATGTTAAAATAGTTTTGATACAATGTTTTTTTTTATATTCTTGCAGAAGTGGTCCAAAGGAAAAGTACGTGATAAGTTAAACAATCAAGTACTCTTCGACAAACCTACATATGAGAAGCTATTGAAAGAAGTACCGCAATACAAATTGATTACTCCGTCGATTGTTAGCGAAAGATTAAAAATTAGGGGATCTCTCGCAAGACGGGCACTGATAGAACTTCAACAGAAAGGCTTGATCAAGCAAGTTGTGCAGCATCATGCACAACTTATCTATACACGCACTACTAAGGGAGATGACCCAGCAGTATAATATGTAAAGATCAATTTAATAAAAAAAAACTTAAAACCAAGATATAATTCTCTATTCTTTTAAATGTGTTTACAATTTATTAACTAATTAGTATTTTTATAATTGTGAATAGTATTTGATGATAAAATTAAGATTGTGCATTAGTACGCTATACAAGTAATTCCATTTACATATTTCCTGTATCACACCATCCATTACACATCTCCAAAAGTAGATAAAGGATTAATAATAATTATTAAATTTTCATGAATCTCTCAAAAAGTCTTCGGCTTTTCATCAATTATTTTGTGAATTTTACCAATTTATAAACTTAAAAAAAAATTATTTTAACATATATTACAAAAGAAAGTAACATGTTTCTTATTTTTTATGGTAATTCAAAGTAGCTGTAACAAAAAAATATATAGAATTTCTCTAAGCAAGTTAAGAAACAGAATTTTAATTTTTCAATCGTTATTTAAAAAATATAAAAAAGTCGAAAAGTTATACTTACATAAAATTATTTTATTACATTTTAGTGTAACAAAAAATAAGTTTCACATTTTACATTAAAGAACAGTAATTATATTATTACATAGAATTTGGCAATTATATTTCCTAACAATTTATGGACAGGAGAAAATTAGCAGAAAATAAAAAATAATTAAAAATGAATTCGATAAATTTTTTTTATTCAATTTATACTAATTTATAATAATTTAACCACACAAAACTTGTTCGACAAATATCTACTATTTTCTGCTTTTTTCATGCTGTCCATTTTTTTATTATACAGAATATTTTTCCATATTAATCTTTTCTCTATTGAAATGTTTAACTTTCTGATTTGATTTTTGATATTTCAGGAACGTACTCATCGCATCAGAGATAAAGTTTCGCTGCATCCACTTTTTGTCCGCTTTGTTAGATATTAAATTTTAATTTCGTATTTTTAAGCGAATGATTATTATCTCTATTCTCAATATTACAATGGCTACGTTCAGCAGACTCAACAGTTGAGTGAGCGCTCGCTGTTATTGGTGTATTCTTTTAGATCATCCAATCAAATTTTAAATCTAGAAGAATATACCAATAACAGAGAGCGCTCACTCAACTGTTAAGTCTGCTGAACGTAGCCAATATCTTACCTGTTGTTAACTATAGTTATCTAAGCCAGGTAACTGATTTGTATGCGTACGCCACTGATCATTAGTGTTGAACTTATGATTTTTAAATAATTCGGGTTTAGAATCGATTAGATTTTGTATCTTACACAAATCTATACTCACTTTGAAACAAAATTTATTACTTTTGGTTCTAGTCTCACCGTTATGATGTACAGTATTTTCTTGAAATGCTATGCATTGAATTAACTTTTTAGAATCGCATGCATCGATTTGCTTACTTAAAATACTATGATCGTTAAATCTTGTAATATTCGAGACACGCGTGGCGTTCCGATTATTAATCTTCGATTTCACAACGTTCATACTATCTAAATATTTAAAACCGTTCTGTAATGTAGGAGAATCATCTATATGATCATTATCAATTTTGTCGCCATCAGTATGTTGACTTAAAATAGTGATATTATTTTGCGATATTTTCTCAATGTTTTTATTCATATTAACAACATTTAAATCAACCTCGACACTGTGCGCTATTTTATTAGTTTCTTTGACAAATAGTTGAGCCTTAGACCTTTCTTCCGTATGCATGGAAATTACATTATGTACGGACATTTGTTTATGCTGTACAGTTTCTAAACTAACTCGTGAACCTCGGTTACAATTGTTCGAATTGAACGTTATATCATTCACGATATTATCTACATTTGGATTACAAATTGTTTGATTTAATATATTTACATTAGTATCACTTGAGAGACGCGTCTCACTATCATTGCTATTCTCATCATTAAAACAATTGTTCATTGCGCTGTCAACATTGCTCCCCGAATTTACATTATCTAATGAATCGTTATACGGTGGTACTCTACATCTGATCGGATTTAAATTCTCTTTAGCATCATCCCGATCGTGCGCTATGTATGTTTTATCATTAATTGACAAATTTTCATTCTTCAGAGAGCGATAAAGCTTATCAGAACATTGTCTCGCAGTTGTGATATTGTCGATGTAATCTGAACTGCACGAAGCTTCACGAAATGCAATGGTGGACATTTCTTTTTCCTCCGGTGCAGCTACGCCTGTCAATCTCTTATTTTCTTTGAGGTTTTTCATCGAGATATTTACAGAGAATGTATCATATAAAGTCATCTGAGCAAAAAAATAACATACAATTAAGTTAACGCATGACAAAAATTAGTAAATAAAGCCTAACACGTAATTGAAAAATAGGTAAGAAACAGGGAACAATAGATTTAAAAAACCGTGTATATTAGAGTATATGATTTTTGATAAGTTGAATCCGTTATTCCGTCGTTCTTATTGCCTGTGCTTTTCAATTATAGCTCAAGTTTTATTGTCATTGTCAATGAGATCTACATAAAACGTACCTGAATATTGTTAGACGCGCAAACTCGAAATTTAAGGTCTTGTAGATTCATGTAAAACGGTATCAGTCCAGGTCGATGACATGTAGTGTGGTTGTTGGTAATTTGTGGGAAGACGTTGCAGGTTTTGACAGATCTTTGGCGAGTAATGGTCTTTTTGTTGAAGACGCTACACAGTAATACATAAATATTAATGCATAAAAGATTTCATTCATATATAGAATTCAATTTTTATTTTTCATCGTACTGACTTGTCAATCATTTACACTCAAAAAGAAGTTTCTTCGATTAAAAAAAAAATTGTTTAAATCAAAGAAATTCGTGCATTGTGCACTATATAGTTAAAGAAAAGTTTCTTTGATTTGAATGTTTGATTTGATCATTTCTCAAAATCAAGTAAATCTGGAGACACAGTAATATCTCGGCGCTAAGCCAGGCGCACCGATTTTTATTTTTCTCAGACATTTTTACTTTAACTTAAAAAAATCAACGAAGGAAACAATTACTTCAATCTAAACTTTACTTTTTTCTTTGTATACAAATAACTTGCAATAAGGATTAAAATTAGAAACCAGTGATCTCAGATTGAGAGAATCTGACGCATGCATACTGACTTTTTTTTATATTGATTTGGCCACATGATTGAGAATTTTTAAGAATTCAGAAACTTTCTTTATGTTACAAACAATCAATTTTAACTTTAAAAACACTAATGTTAACGTGTATGCGTTAGAAGTCTCGTAATCTGGGATCATCGAGTTAAATACTTAAAAATGTACTCACTTTCTAAGGGAATCGTTTGATGGGTCTTCTTTATAGTTGGTTGAATCAAGTTCAGCAGGCCTGGTGCCTGCATCCCCGTCACACTGTTAGAATCGCAAGATATACACTAAAGAGGAGGTACGGGGAAATTGATTTACAACACTTAATACTCCCCGTACCATGTTTCTTATCAAAATATACTTTTACTTTATTCAATTAAGAACGCGGTTTTTTTTTTACAAATATTTATTGTATAAAAATATTTTAACGTTAATCTAATAATATATATCCGAAAATTGATTTTATGTGTTTTATGTATGTGATTTTATGTATAAAATATTTCTAGTTTTTGACTGGATATTTAACGTAAACTGTTGAATTTCTTGAGTTACTTACGTAAGATGTATTTGTGGAAATATTCTCAACATTGGATGTACTAGCAAGTACATCTTTCTTCAATGCAGCTTCTTGTTGATTTACTGTTACTATTCGTTTGTCGCTCAAAACAGGCGCAGTTACATTAGTCATTACTGGTTGATTTATAAGCAGAGTCGGATTACGAAGCACAGTGATATTATCTGTCATATTCGGCAGAATCACACTATTCGATGGTATAGCATATACGTTTGATTTATTTCTTCCAACATTTTGATTAAATGTCGTAAAATTCGGGTTAGATATTTCTTGAAGATAGTAACTACCAATTGGCAACAAAACTGGATTATTCTCGGCAAAAGTCACGAATTCTGTCGTATTTGCTTGTGCAACACAGTTTTCGTTTCTCTGGTTTAAATTAACACGTACATTATTTCCATCCAAATTTGATACAAATTGGTTTAAATGTTGCACATTATTCGCTTTAAGAATTTGTTTAGAATTATGTTGTAAAGATAAATTATTTCTTTGATCGTTTAACGAATTGAAAGTGTTTATAGATGTTCTTTCATTTTGCTGCCTATCTGTATTATTTACACTATTTTCTGCATCATTTTGAGTATTATTTGTTTCATTTGTATCAGTACTATATTGTATTGGTACTAGGACAGCTTGAGAACACGTTTCGTGTAATCTTTCGTCGAAACTATTTCTTTTAACCTTCTTACAATTGTTAGTAATGTTACTCGCTGAAAAATAGAACATATTGTTATTAATCATAATACAATCATGATATATAACTTTCTTTTCTTTTTCTCCTTAAATTACCTTCGTACATACTACGCTTCATAGATGGGACATGAGTGACGAGTTCCTCCAATGTTTCATTTACAGAAACAAGTGAGGTATCAGTGATATTCTTATTTAACGTGATGTTGTCACATACAACATCAGGTACGTTTTCGAATACTTCACGTGATAGAGAAATAACATTAGTAATTTTGATATTCATAACTGACGAATCGTTAGTATCTTCTGTGTTGGTTTCCACATTGTTTGAAGTAACCAGATCTATCGTGGATTTTTGTGGCGTAACTACATCGATTTGGTCTTTGAAGATAGTAGATTTATTTTCCTTTGAAGTCTCTTTCTTTGATAAATTGATTGTCGCTATACTTTTGCTCTCAGATGCTGCAAAATTCTCTGTTGCATCTAACAGAGTAATCTTCGATGTTGATGTGCTAGGAAGACACGAACTCGAACTGCCAAATTGTATAGACTGCTTCATGTGTGTAGGTGAAAGATTAATATTTTGTGTTGACATCTTTAACGTTGATGTGCTAGGAAGACACAAACTGTGATATTGTATACGGTGCTGCATGTGTTTAAATGGAAGATACATTTTCTGTGTTGATGTAACAAGCTGTAATAAAAGTAAATAAATCAATAAATTTACGATGATGTATACAATTTCGTTCAACAAAAATTCAGTGCTTTTAATCATAAACTTGTTAAAAACATAGTTTAAATATTTTTAAGTCTTTCTCTTTTCATGTATTCTAATTAATCAATCATTTACCTTCACATCATCATCATCGCTTTCAATTGTGATAACATCCATCTTCTTTTGAATCGGCTGAAATTTTTCATCATTTTTGCTGAGCAACTGTTTTTCTTTCTGGAGGCTAACTTCCTTATTTTTTTGCTGAAGAGCTAACTGTTTTTCTTTCTGGGAGCTATTTTGCTTACTTCTTCGCTGAAGAATATTTTCTTTACTTTTCTTACTTTCTTTACTTGTTGATGGCTCTTTCTTCACATCGTCATTTTTTGATAATGATCCATCTTTCATGCTAGTTTCAATAACAGCTATATTCTTTTCAAGCTCAGTATTTGTCAAATCTAACCTGCTAAATAAAATAGTATATTACATCAAGGCAAATATCCTATAAAATTTAAATATTTTGTATTACTATTATTATCATTTTTTATTATCATTATTATCAACCATTCGTTTAGTTTGGTCATTTTCTGTTGTATTTTAAAAGAACGTGGCCCAGGTCGCAATTTAATGTCCAGGAGAGACTCCAAGGAAGAAGATGAATCGGTCAATAAGCACTGTATAGGAAAGTCGGTTCCCACAGAGATGTCTGTATCACTGTTATTATCCAAATTTGAATCTGAGTCTGAATCTAAGTCTGAATCAGAATTCCTATTCTGACTAGTATTAAAAGAAAGAAAAAAAATATGTACAAATTAGACATGCTGTCAAATGTGTGAGATGTTATTTGTTTGATCATCACAATTCGAGATAAACATTTCAGGAATTTTCCATCATTTGTAAGATTAAAAAATAGATATGATGCATACCTGCCTATTGAAGTACTGTGATCTAGTTTTACACGGTCATTACCTTTATTAAAAAGATATATAAAGATTATAAATGTCATAATTATAATGTATTTTTCTTTTACAGCATACATACTCAATATTGATGTACATTCTTCGCACTCCCATACTGGATTAGCCCACTTTAATTGCCCACAAAACATATGGATACCTTGCGAACCGCAAGTTCGACATAGGGCCAATTCCCATTTACTATATATTTCATAAACATTTTATTATGTTTCTTGTATAGCACATAGATTTAATATCATTATAAGCAAGTATTACTTACGCGTTATTACTTGTATACTTCCTTCCCTTTGGACAAAGACATTTTGATGCATCGCACTGATCATGCCTGTATAAAAGCTCTTCAAATGCATTTGGTACCAATTCCCACGAAGCATCTCTAATTATATAAAAAAATTCTTGTATATCATTATGTACTTTACATGCTCTTTATACATATATATATATAATGAATTAGTGTATATAGCATTAATATATAGTAAATATTAATCTAAAAATAATTTCTACATATTCCTAACTTTCATTAACAACTGAGTTTATTACATATTGCAAAAAATAAAAAAAAATGATCGTTAGATTTTGTTTCGCCGTACTTACTGACTTGGTACGAAAATTCCATATTCTAACATAGCTTTTTGAAAATCTTTTTTATTGTTACATAAGGGGCACTTGAAAAAATATCCAGCACTTAATGCGAGTTGCTGAAAAATGAGAGATTGTCTTGGATATATAAATCTCATATTCATATTATTAAAAAAATATTATGCATAAAGCCATATTAAGACTAACTTGAACACAAATGCGATGAAACCATGCATCCTTTTTACAGCAAGGAGCCCATAACGACTTCACAATGTCATTAGTGTTAACTTTGTCATAACAAATGTAACATACTACATCTACTGAAGTAGCCTGTTTTAGAACTTGTTCATCAATGTTTTGTTTCGGTCTGTGATTTTTGCAATACGATCTGAAACATTTCAAATAAATTATTCGATGGTCACTGCAATCACAATCGTCATGCACCGATCAGTCAAAATTTTCTCTTACCTAAATTCACCGAAAAATTGATGCAGAGAACCAGCTTTCACACCACAAGGAAAATGAAAAATCCGTTTGCATCTTATATTACAACAACCCAAAGTAGCACCTAGCTTTTTGCAATATGAGCATGCCTAAAAGCATTAAAATCTCCTTCATTAAAATAAAAATTCTTCAAAATCCTTCAAAAGAAATTATTAAGTTTAACAAAGACAAATGTAATTATAAGATACTTGACTCGTAACGGAAATATATTTTTTACTTTAAAGGAACATGAAATCTACTATTAGTTTTATTTACTTACAAAATTACAACCTAAAGTTACAAGAAAAGACTTCCAATTTGCAAATTCAAAAAAATTATGAAACTTTGACAATACATAGAAGATATGATATGTAATAAACAATATTTTTTCTGCTCAAATTTACTCTGAAGAAGTAAAGTCAGCCTTCAAAGATTCATCCTAATTTTTCGTTTTTATTTTATTATTTACCAACAACAGAAGAGAGACAAAACATTTTAAAGTGAAAATTTATTTCTCTTAATAAGATTTATTAAGAATTATTTAAAAATTATTTAAAAAAAATACAAGTAAAAAAGCAAGAGCAACATATTCAATATTGATATTCTGTAACTTTTTTATAATACTGTATAATACATTAATATACGTTTTATTTGACTATATTTACAATTAGTTGAAATTAGCTGCTTTCGATATATAAAATACATAGAAAAACCAGAACGAATTCACTTCAAATGAGAAGCTATTATTGCCGCCTTTTATTACACATTACAATACGTTCATTCTTCGTTCGTATTTCGATAATTTTAAATTGCTCATATAATTAAATAATTAATAAGTTTCCAAATCAATAATCTTATTTTAAAAACTAATTTTTTTTGAAATTTTGTTCTGTTTCCTTTTATTGATAAATAATAAAATAAAAATCGAAAATGGGCCAATCTTCAGGGATTGCATGGTCTACTTTTTTTTCTCTCTAATATAAAAAGAAAATAAAGATCCTGGAATATGGAAAAAATAACCTTAATAATGCAATAGAATTGGTGCTCTCTATTTAGTAAAACAAATCAACACAAGTTTTTATTTTTGTTACTTATGGATTGCAAAGATAGAACATTTGTGTCAACAAATTTGTTGTGTCGATGGATGTCATTAAATGGAAAGCATCTATTATAATACTTTTTAATATATGTACCAATTTCTTTCCCCTGCGAAGTTCCTTTTGTATATCTTCAGCAAGAAATCCAAGTATGCCTTCGTTATCATTCCCTTTCTGCTCCATGTTCGAGGACAAGAGCTAAAAATTTATGTGATTAATGCCATTTCCATCAATGTAAATTAACTTTAATCTCAGTTCAAGCCCTTATTTTTTAAATCCTTCTCTACTTTTAATGAAGATTAAGTTGAATCAAAATTAAAGTTAATCTACATTGATAGAAATGGGCAGAAGTAGTAACATAAAAAACAATAATTTTGAAGACATTTCTGTCTCTCTAAGTTTGTGTTAAAGTCTGTTTTCTATAGCTGACCTAGTATATATTTTAAAGTATGTGTAAGTTTAATATTTGGTGAAAATTCTATAACAAAAAACAAATATCTTTTGGACTTAGATATGTTTTTGAACATGTTCGATAACATAGCAACAAAGAGATAGCAGTAAGCTGACATTTCATATATAGCATGCTGCGACAGCAAAATGTTATTATTGGTTAAAAATTTTTTATGAGATGACTTTTTTATCATTTTCAAAAATTTAAATCACATGACATTTTACTGTCATAAAGTGCAAAAAGTCAGTTGTAGAAATCAGATAAGACCAGTGTTTTGATACATTCAAGACTATCATCACAATATCGAAAACCTACCAAACAATAATAGTGGGTGACAATTCCCTGGTATTCATAGATCTTTCCATATTCCAGTTCATTGTCTTCAGCCAAATTACAGAAGCAACAGACCTTAGAAGAAGATGGCTTGTTCTTGGACATTGTATTTGAATGACAAAAGTAGATGCTCATCAACAGTCACAGTCAGAAAGTGACAATTGGCTGAGATGGCAACAAATTGGAGCATCTCATTATCTCAACAGAATCTGTGAACCGTGTCTGTGACACAAACGTAAGCGAAGTATCGCAAACAACGGTTTGTTACGCTTATCTGACAGATTTTATGGATACAGATTATTCACCTCGTAAACGCGTTGTCGTACACGACATACACGCAACAATTATACTATAAAAAGATCACAAAAGTCGTAAGTCAGGACGTAATTTCTCTTCAAAATTGCTCAAATTTTCAAAATCGTTGAACCACTCACGTGAAGAGAGTAAACGAGAGCTACAAATAAAAGCGCCTTGACTTTGAACAGAATACAGAATTGATGCAATGCAATGATACCATTCCAATCGACTGCTGTTGACCGAAACCTCGAAACAGTGATCGAGGCGCTTTAATTCTGTGAACTACCACTAGGATAATTTGATGTCCCTCTGTTCTTATCATTCACACAAGTTTTGTGACCTAATCACGAAGAAAGTCATTTTTTTTCTCAGATTACTCAAATTTTCGTCTCCGGTGGATGATTTTTGAAATATTCATGCGCCTATGACGTGGACTAACTTGTATCAATTTACTTCCATTTGGAGGGAAAACGAAGCTGAACGAAGCAGTAATCGCTTATCACTGATTAGTTGTGACGGAGTAGTTGTAAAGAATACGCATTTCTCATTCGTTGTCTCGAGAATCAACAACCAATCGCATAACCGTTACTATTCGTTCATTTGAACTCTATAGATAACTATGATATTGACATTTTGACTGTATTTATCGATTGTCAGTATTTAATTAAAATTAAAAACAATTAATAAAATTTATAAATATTATATCTATAAATATTAATTTGAATCAGATCATATCAATTATGCCCCCTTTCAAGATTATGTTAGAATTTTTACGTATTATTTATGTTAAGTTTATACAAATTTTTTCGTGTATACAAGCAATATATAAAATATATAAATTATAGGCCGGTATTCATAGTCAGTTCTTATATTCAAGACCGTCTTAAGTTCAGTCTTGAAGAGTTACGAACCAATCAGAGGGCCGCTTTAGCATCTTAAGACAGTCTTCAAATAAGAACTGACTATGAATACCGGCCAGATAGTTCGGCGCGCAATTTGGGGGGAATTTTCAGGTAGAGTTGCGTTTCAAGACCGACGATTGTTCGGCGCGCAAGTTGGTGGGGGGGCGTGGGAAGGGAATACATATACATATATCACTTTGAATAATATATTGCGAAGAATATTACTACGTCGACCCGCCATCAGAGATCTATAGATATTAGCTAAGATTCTCGCAAGTGCTTTGATACGCGTATATCTGTAGATATATATAGAATCTCGATTTAATAACTAAATCAGGCGTCTAAGGTAGGCTTCCATTACAATACCTTACTGATGAGTCCAGTATTTGGAAGCCGGGATGAAACGCCAACATTACGTGATATTCTTCGCAATATATTAGAATTAATAGAATTTAAAGATTTTAATGAATCTCAGGCTCGTAGCCCTATTCTCATATTAGTTTTAAATTCGTTGAGCCTTATTACAATAAATATTTTATAGAAAAACCTCTATAAATAAACGGAATAACATTTAAGGAGAAATATAGAGTTTTTTTTCAGTCTCCTGAGAGAGATTTAGGGAGAATACTGTTTTAGGGGAAAGTCGATCTGGGGAAATGTATATGTCGATTTAGGGAAAGGTTCTGGCAAAACTGCCTTAACCACGTGGTGTGTGGGCGCCGCCATATGTCGGAGCATTATTCGATTCCGTAGCGTGCTACCGCGTGCACAGCATGGATGGTGCACAATGCAACGAGTATTAATAAAAAATATCGGGCGCGTGCCGGGACTCGATCCTGAGAATAGTGTATACTGAACATTAGCAAGCCGCAACGTCTTGCCGCGGAGCCACACAGCCCGACGGGAACGGAGAAAACAAGTAATATAAATATAAGAATATATATATATATATAATTAAATAGGTTATAAGTCCAAGCTAGGATATCCTAGCTTAGACTCATAACCTATTTAATTTAAATAACATATAACATTTATAACATAACATTTATATATAACATTTATAGATTTATATTTACAGATAACATTTATGTTGCATAAGATATCTAAAACATATAAAACGGTTTTTAGATGTCTTATGTCTAATACATGTCCTATGACTTATAGTCAGGTCTTAAATATAAGGTCTGACTTTAAATACGCGCGTAAAAGACGTCTTTCAGATATCTTACGCAACATGCATGTTATCTGAAGGGGGATTCCGCCTATAGATTTAAAAATCACTTGATAATGGGTACCTTCCACAAGCAACACAAATGACACGTATCAGTACGTCTTTGTTGTTCGCCAATGTTATACAAGAATAAGATTATTGTGTTGTACTGTGTCACTTGTTGGAAAGCACACAATAAGAGGTACCTTTTTTTGGAAAAAAAATTATGTGCGCTAAAAATATAAATTCTATAATATAAGATTTATCAAACCTTTTATATTTAACTTTATGCATAAAAGAATCTAGTTCTTATATGTAACCGTATTTTTTATATATTTAAATGTTGTTTACACTGATGATGATTCGAAGAAGGTAGAAACATTTTAATTTTTGTATTTTACATTTGTAAAATATATTATAGCATCTCACATATCCTAGCTTAAGCAAGGGATGAAAAGTGGGGGGGAGGCTACCGGAAATGTAGTCTCCCCCCCCCACTTTTTGACGGAAATGCGCGTTGTCGAATGAGTTATGAGAGAAGCTCTCATTCACAGCGACGCAGCATCGTTTCGTTTCGCGTCCATTATACTTAAGAAGCGGGAGCCATTGACTGTTTCGTCATCGAGCGTCGAGCGTGGTCGAGCGATTTTCGCTGACTTGTGAAGTGCCATTATTCTTATTCGTCCATTGTGTGATTTTCAAGTAGCGTATAATATTATATTGCGCGATTAGATCTATTTTTTTAAATATACGATGAACTAGAGAAATAAGAACTGCATGATGCATACGCATACCGAAACATCGTGCATGACGAAATGTTTCGATGAATTTTTACACACTATACTATACTATACTATAACTTTGTCGTCGTCATACTGGAGCGCGAGACTGTAGCTCGAGCGGGAATAAAAGTTGTTTCGAGACTAAGATTGGAATATTGTAATAATAAAATATTTCCTTTTTTCAGGTTAAACGCACGATTCGTACAATGGCTGTGACACCGGATTCCTATCAGATCTCAAAGAAGATCATAGAGGCTGTCAAAGAACACCCAGTACTTTATTGTACTGAGGTGAAGGGTGAGCCGGTGAAGCTGAAGGAATTCAAACTGCAAGTGTGGAAATATGTCTGTGACGAACTTGGACTGGACTGTAAGTTTTTATATGTCGTTTCCTTTTTTTACATATTATGCTACTGGCTATATTCAGGGAATGGAAGTAACTCGTTACTTGTAACGAAGTTACAGTTACAAGTTACTTTTTTGGTAACTTTACTGGTAACTGCGTTACTTTCTTTTTTTGGTAACTGTAACGGTAACGAGTTACATTTTTTGGGTAACGGTAACGAAATTTACAGTTACTTTTGTCGTTACTTTGCACACGATTGAATACGGTTCGATTGGATACATGCTATTTATAGCGCTTATCAATAAGACTTGAAAGCCCTTAGACATTCGGCCGTTATGATTCAGTAATTATTTTACACTTCTATCTTCTATGTAATACATAGGACATACAAATATTTCAGTTTGCTGCATATTTTACAGGTTTTAGAATTACAAAATTGTGTTTAAAAAAAATTAAAAAATAAATTAAATAATAGTAAAATGAGAAGGGCTATGAACCCAAAAGCGAAACAGTTTAAAAGACGATGACAATAAGTGTCGAAACGTCGTTTGTTTTTATCTTGTTTTATCTATGTATTGTTCTAATATATATTTATACATTTAATTACATTGTCATCGTCGTTCTTATCGGAAATAAACTGTTTCATTTTTGGCTCGTAACCCTTCTCATTTTACTTTTATTTAATTTATTATTTGAGCCATTCTACATTGTTTTTTTTTTTTTTTAATAAAACTATATATTTGTCAGTATTACATAAAAAAAAAAATGCAAAAGTACATTTTTAAATTGATTTTAAAAAAGTAACGGAAAAGTAACGAAAAGTTATTTTTCAAGTAACGGTAACTGTAACGAGTTACTTTTAAAAAGCGATAACTGTAACTGTAACTAGTTACATTTTTTACTCGGTAACGAGTAACTGTAACTAGTTATTTTTAAAAAGTAACTTTCCATTCCCTGGCTATATTATATATTTTGCAACTTTAAAAGTTTTTTCATTGAAATAAAACTTCCTATAAATTTAAAAATATAATCTACTCAGAACAACGTAAATATCTAATAATAGTAAAATTATTATTTTTTATTAAATGCAGTCAGAAACTATACGGTAGAAAAAACAACTTTACAACTGTTGTTACATTTTTTAAATATATTTGATGTTCTTAGTATGAAACCTCATAGACAACAATGCTTTGACACTAAGGCCTGTATTCAGAACGCACTAATAATAATGTTAGTGCGTTAACTTGCTATAGTTTTATGTAACGTGTATACTATAGAATTTCAGAGATAAAAGCGCGCTTTTATCGATAAAAATGCGTTCTGAATACGGGCCTAAATGTTGATTGGTAAAAAAACAATTGTGTGTAGGTAAAATTTACATTCTTCATCTGCTTTTCACCAAAGCACTTGGTGTTTGTATGAGAATCTAAGTCCTTCATTAAATTTAAATGTATAAACCAATCATTAAAGAATCTTATGACAATTACAAACCTACTTTTTCTGCTAAACGCAATCGGTGATCACATTCAGCAGAATGATTGCATTCAGAAGTTAATTGATTAATAAGTGCATCTAGAAGTATGACCGCTTACTGAGCTCTTGTACCTGTTTGGTCTACATTTTTCGATCTAATTTAATTAATCAATCAGATACAGATCTCATTAAGGTGATGCTGGACCCGCCTGTATTATTGATTTAACAAGCGTTTTTGACGTTTTCGTTCTCTTCGCAGTAGTTTCACAGAATAAAAATTCCTTCTCCACGATTAAAATATCCAAGCTATTGTATCTGCCCCTGGTGTATTTTGTGTCCAAAGCTGGAAAAAGTATGAAATCATAGATTTCTTTATCCATTTAACTTCAGTATGGCGACCAACGCTGAAGATAAAAATGAATAAAGAAATCTGTATTTTCATATTTTTTCCAGCTTTGGACACAATATAGACCAGGGGCAGATACATTAGCATAAATATTTTAAAAATGGAGAAGGAATTTTTATTCTGTGAAACTACTGCGAAGAGGTTTGACAGGAACGAAAACGTCAAAAACGCTTGTTTTATCGACAATAAAGGCGGGTCCAGCATCACTTTAACTGCTCAGTCAGCGGTCTTGCTTCTGGATGCACTCAATGAGTGCACAGTGATTCTTTAATATGATTGGTTTTTTGCTTTTAGTTCTTCACTGGATGTAGGAACTAATCATATTAAGAAATCAATAAATGCTAACTGAATACATTTTTCTACAGAACACAGCCTTGTTTATTTTGCAATTGTTGAAAGTTTTCTTTGCTGACATGAATATATTTTTCTAGATCTAGAACTATAATCCAATCAAAATGAAGAAAACTTTAATCTATTGTAAAATAAACAATCTTCTAAATGTGACCATTGCGTGTGTTCAGCAGGTTCAACAGAACAGTTGAGTGAGCGCTCACTGTTATTGGTACATTTTTTTAGATCATTCGTTCAGAATTCTGAAATGGATCTAGCAGAATACACCAATAACAGCAAGTACTCACTCAACAGGTGTTCCGTTATTCACTACAAGACTGAAAATCTATAGTATACGTAACGCGAACTATAAATTTTCAGTACTTGCAGTGATTAACGGAACGCAGCCCCTATTGTTGAGTCCGCAGATTGCACCCAATGGTCGCGTTCAGCAGACTCAATTGTTGCAGAGCGGATCCTTGAGCGCTCGCTGCTATTGAATGATTTAAAAGAATATACCAATAGCAGTGAGCGCTAATGAATCTGCTTCGCAACAGTTAAGTCTGCTAAATGCGACCAATGATTGTTGTCTGTTGTAGCTACATTGGTTAGACTAAAATGGAAGTATCTAAGGGATACTTATTTAAGCATTTTGAGGTGCAAGACTAAGGCAAACGGTGTGAGAAGAAAAAAATGGATCTTTGAGAATCTCTTGAGCTTCCTAAAATTCCCGTAAGTGATATCTATGATTATTGATGATTTTAGCGCTTATGTGTCGTTTCTCAATTAAAAATACTTTGGCAGATGTGAAACAGATTACGAGCCACAGTGTGCAGAACTGACCAAGGAATACGTTGAAATGATAAATTCGAAAGATTTGACTTCCAAAGGTTTGTCGGAGCTGTTAGAAGACCGAAGTGAGGACTATTCCGAATTCCTGGAAGTTCTTGACAAGTCATCAGCCGATCCAGTTCTTGAAGAGACATCAGCTGATCCAGTTATACTAGAACCCGTTGAAGAGACAATAGAAACAATAGAAGTATTAGAAACATTGGAAATAATAGAAACAGTAGGAACAGTAGAAATATTGGGCAACAGTAATGAACAGACAGTCGCTCAAGAAGTGGTGATTGTACAAGAGATTCCTACGGAGGATGTGAACAATATTAATCAAAAACGGTCAAAGAATCGTAAAACACCTACGAAACGATTGAAAACCAGAAATACTTCTCCAATATCACCTAGCTGTAGAAGAACAACAAGGTCTTCCTTGAAGATCGGTAATTTAAGTGTAAGTGATATTACAGTGATTGAGCCTATTCTTGAGAAAAGAACACGTAGCGTACCACGTAGCATATCACATAGCTTACCACCTATCCTACCATCTACCGTACTATCTACCGTACCACCTAGCATTGAACTGATAAATTCGAAAGATTTGACTTCCGAAGGTTTGTCGGAGCTGTTAGAAGACCGAAGTGAGAACTATTCCGAATTCCTGGAAGTTCTTGACAAGTCATCAGCTGATCCAGTTCTTGAAGAGGCATCAGCTGATCCAGTTATACTAGAACCCGTTGAAGAGACAATAGAAACAATAGAAGTATTAGAAACATTGAAAACAATAGAAACAGTAGGAACAGTAGAAATATTAGGCAACAGTAATGAACAGACAGTCGTTCAAGAAATGGTGATTGTACAAGAGATTCCTACAGAGGATGTGAACAATATTAATCAAAAACGGTCAAAGAATCGTAAAACACTTACGAAACGATTGAAAACCAGAAATACTTCTCCAATATCACCTAGCTGTGGAAGAACAACAAGGTCTTCCTCGAAGATCGATAATTTAAATGTAAGTAATATTACAGTAATTGAGCCTATTCTTGAGAAAAGAACACGTAGCGTACCACCTATCTTACCATCTACCGTACTATCTACTGTACCATCTAGCGTACCTCCTAGTGTACCTCCTAGAGTACGTCCTAAAGTACTATCTAACGTACCAGTTAACATCATATCACCTGACATACCGTATATGATTGTGAAAGAAACAAAAAATATGGAGAAAGAAAACGGGAAGCAAAAATTTTACTTAGCGCCCGAAAATAAGGGTATAGAATTATTTTTTGATAGCATGGCACAGGCTGTGAAAAAATTACCATCTAACGCGCAAGCGGATATCAGGTTGAGTATCTGCAAACTCGTCACAGAGGCGGAAATAAAATATTGTGGTCCAACTACAGTACAGAGCACACAACAGTTCTTAACACCGCCCGGCATGATACCTAAGCTAATTTTGATTCCTTCTAGTAAGTTGGATAATCCAAATGATAAGAATTGATTTGTTCATGTTGCGCTGAATGTGTCTTAATGCTGAATAAAATTGTAAGTGTATTAATATAACTAATTAAATTATAAGTATTATATAGTTATTATATCTTTTACATCATTCCAATATTATATTCATCACGAGTTCTCTTGACAAGCTTGTTAGTTTCATCTGTATGCTGAATAAAATTATGAAATTGAATAGCAGAACTACAAACGAGATTATATTTTATTATAATTACATTTTATACTAGAATCTATAGAGACGGTAAAAATTACATTTTAAAACAATGATTATCATCATTGTTTTAAAATTATAAAATATAATCGTTTATCGTTTGCTATTCACTCTCATAATTTTATTCAGCATATAGATGAAAATAACGAACTTATCAAAAGAACTGTGTTGTGATGAATGTAATATTGGAATGAAGTAAGATATAAACACTATAGATGTGTGAGATATATGTCATGTTAAAATTTAATTTTAACTTATTATATTCATGGACTCTCTATAAAGACAAAACGTTTTATTTCTTGACATGTATCTCTACTTACATCTAATAGATGTTATAAAATTAAATAAATGTGTTGATTGATGTCAAAATAATGTTACGAAGTAGAAAGTTGTCATAAGTTAAAATTACATATAGTCAAAATAATATTAAAAGTGATTATGTTATATTACATTTTGTTCATAATGTTCGTATAAGCATGGTGCAATTTAGTGTCAGATTTTGAATTTTAATCATTAGTTTTGAAAGTGATATGAAGCATTTTAGAGAAATCAATCTCTTATAATTTATTTCGTTATGCAAGTGTTTTCCCATTCAAATTCATGTTTGAATTGCATTCTGTGTTCTGTAATGACAAATCGGTTTTTTTTTATCGATATTAAGATGTTCAGCAATTCTTGTTTTTAGTTTTCTTCCTGTCTGTTCTATATATGAGGTATTGTAATCCTTACAATTGATTTTATATATGATATTTTTCTTGGAATCGTGAGGAAGGACATCCTTTTGTGTCTTCATAATCCCATTGAATTTATTTATACTGAACCGAGATAATTTAACATTATTGTTTTTTGTAATGTTTTTAAATTTTTCATAAAGGTGAGGAAAAATTGGAATTGTAAACCACGTGGTTTTTTCTTTCTCATCATTCTTTGGTTCTGTGGAATCTGTTTATTTAAGTGTCTTTAGTTTTAATAAGGATCTTAGCCAAGAGTTAACAGTGTCAAAAATAAACTGGATAGGATATTCGTTAATCAGAAAGGTTTCGATAATAAACCTCAAATTTTTTTATGGTATTTAGGATGTGATAGTAAGAATGCTGTATCCACCATGCTTATTAGAACACCCTTTTTTGTGAAAGGGGGTGAACAGACAAGAAACTGAGATACCTTCCCGAAAAAGTTGGTTTGTGATATAAATTAAACTTTTATTCCATTAACATTAATGATTATGACATCTAAAAAATTTAATCTATCTCCTGCATATTCTAAATTATAGTCTGATATGTAGTGAGTTAAAAATGTCCAGAAATTTATTAATTAAGTGGTGAGATACCGCAGTAGCGATGTCATCTACATATCTAAAGAAGAAGAGTAACTCAGTTTCAAGTCTCTCCAATGCGAGCTCATGGCGGGGCATCTTAAATTTCTGTTTGTAAATCTTGCTATCAAAGGTGAAAGTTGATTCTTAGACCAACTTCAGTGCATTAAAAAATTCTTTTAGGTGTCCTTGAAATAATATTCCACCTTTCAGGAACACTGTTGATGGCAAGATCCATTGGTATGTTTATGAACAATGAAACTACGTCTAAGGAAATTAAAACAAAATCATTGTCCCGATGTGTATTTGACCAGTTTAAAATTATCTTCGATATGACTGGGTGGTTTTAGAATGTAATCATTTAGAGTGCTTAATTTTTAATGCTTAATTTAAATTAGACATCTGCTAATATATGTACTTTGTAGCGTTTCTGGTATGAGTAATGAGTTTATTTTAGCTATTGCTAAGAAAGAACTTGTTACAACGAATCTAAATCACTCATCTTTTTATACTTAAAATCTATTTAAGACTGATTAATTCACACATTCAGCGCGTTTCTGGTATAAAATGTTTAAATAAATGTGTGTATGTGTGTGAAATATCAAATGTATACATGTTTTTTGTGGAATTAATGTCAATAAAAGATCAATATTTTAGTATCAAATAAATTTTCAAATTAAACTTAATATACCTCCCAGGTCAAGAACAATTGAGCTATACTAGTTGTTAGAAATATATATAAATTTATTATAATAATAACACCGGTATATACCGAAAGTTTCGATTTCACAGAGTCCTCAACAGCCGCAACCAAATTCTTATAAAAATTAATTTAGTATATTGCGAAGAATATCACAAGTTGGCGTTTTGTCCCGGCTTCCATTACTGGACTCATCAGTAAGGTAACGTAGTGGAAGCCTACGTTATTGTACCCAACAAGACGCCGGTGTAAGTTATTAAATCAAGATTCTATATAAAGCGATATATGTGTATTTCAGAAGAATATTACCACGTAGACTCGCCATCAGATGTCTATCGATATTTGCGAAATTCTCGCAAGTGCTGAAATAGTAAGCAGCCAGAAGAGTCTCTTCAATTCGATATTTTGAGAAGCATTAATGCCAATTAACTGTTTAGTTAACAGTGTGCCACAGCTGCAAATTATGCATAACGCAAAGGGAGAAAAAAATGAAACTAACAAACTTGTCAACAGAATTGTATCATGATAAATATACTGTTAGAATGATGAAATTAATTATTTCCCTTAGCACAAACTAATTTATGTGAAAAGTGTATAATAATTTATTATATAAAGAAAATAATAAAATTATGTAAGACGACGCAAAAATCTTGATAAATTAATTATTTGATATTTATACATATAATTAATTTAATATTGGCGTAAATGTTTGTTTTTGAATAATATTAAGAATTATTTCTTATATTATATATTAATTATAAAAATAAATAAAGAAAATAAAGGACTCTCAATCTTAAAAAAATAACAATTGTGTGATATTAAAAGTAATAAGAGTCAAAAAAGTAATAAACATTCGAAAACTAAATTATAATAAACATTACTAAATACTAAATATAATTTAATAGAGCTAAAAGAATATACATATTGTCTAATGATTATATGATTCAGTGATATGATACCTATAGTCATTAGACATGACTATGTATATATTTAGTTATTAGACAATATGTATATTTTTGTTAGTTCTGTTAAATTATTTAGTATTTACTTTAATTTCCACCAATAAAGATTAACTTTAATCTCGGTTTAACTTATACTGTTTATCTTTTTCTAATTTTTATAACTAGAAAAAGACAAAGAGTAAATTTTGAACCGAGATTAAAGTTAATCTGCATTGGTGGAAATGAGCATTAGTAATGTTTATTATAATTTAGTTTTCGAATGTTTATTACTTTTTTTTACTCTTATTGCCTTTAATATAACACAATTATTATTTTTCTATTATAAATTATATAATGAGTATTATATAATTATATTATTACCCTTGTAGAAAAGTACTACTGAGCACTAGGAGTATTTTGAGGCACTACTGTACTACTACACCAGCGCAGTAGTGCTGTAGTAGTACAGCACTACTCAGCACTACTGTCACAGTATACTGTGCTACTGTACTGGTGTAGTAGTGCAGTAGTGCTGACGCTGAGTAGTGCTGTAGTACAGTAGTGCCTCAAAATACTCCTAGTGCTCAGTAGTACTTTTCTACAAGGGTATATAGAATTATATTATAGAATTGTATATAATTATATAAAGCGGAAGACAAAATTATCTAGATTTTACTAAATTTCCGCGTTTCCGCGCGTTTTGTTCCGCCTTGATTCCGTTTTGATCTCCTGCCGTCCCATGGCACGGAAAACGGAATCAGAACACGGAATCGGAAAAGTGAAATGGTAGGGGCAACCAATCAGCATCGTTCCATTCCGATTTTGTGGGAATTAGGCTGGAGTCACATGGAGCGGAAATTACAGCGGAACGGAACAGTGAAACCAATCAGAACTCTACAATTATTCCGCTGCTTTACTTTCTGCGATTGTGATTGGTCTCGCTGTTCCGTTCCGCTGTAGATTTCCGCTCAATGTGACTCCATCCTTAGGCTAGATATTACTGCCTGTGCTTAACTGTCCACACTACAGCAATGTAATAATACAAGGTTATTGATACGACCAAGATTAACTGGTAAGAGATACTTTATTAAGAGACACACACGAAGTCAGTCCTACTACAATGGACGCTCTAGTTGTTCTAAAATAACGCGCCTTAGTTACGCTGCTGGCAACTCATGCCATGAAAGATCCCCTAGGATACGCTTTCTCTACACACTAGGGAGATCTGAGCTGCCAATCCCCACAATTTTAAGTAGCCTGGCTCCCCATGGGGCATAATTTTCGGAAACGGAAATTTTTCGTACTCTGTCGATCGCTAGCGATCACATGATGGAAATGACTCTTACAGTATTTACAGTAATAATAATACTATTTTACAAAAAATATTTGTAATTTAATTAAAATTAGAGCACTAATATTCTCTTTTAATTACGCGCGCATATCACATACGAATTTGTTTCCGTTGTACTCAATACCATTCAGCAACTGCATTTAATTCCTTGATTCCACTGGAATTATTTCCATAAATAATATTATTCATGTAGGAAACTTGCGCGAGCTCTTTACGAGCTTGTGCCATTCGGTATAAAACAGGACAGTCCAAAGACACACATTCTACATCACCCAATCGTCTAATGCAGGAATGACAGATCTAAAAAAAAAGTTCATTAAAATTGAATAAAATGATTATTAGCCGCAATTTATAGCTTAATATAAATATTTATTTCTTTTTAGTCTAATGAAACACGTTCGCATAAATATTTTTCCTGCGTTTATGCTCACAGTAGTAATCTGTTGATAATTCCTTTCCAACTGTTTT